TCCTCCGGGCCGTGGCCGGCCCCGCTGTCTCCCCCCGGGGCCTCCCCCCGTGTCTCCCCTCAGGGATTCCCGGTTCTCTGGTACCTCCTCCGCCGCGTCTCACCCCCCGGGTCCCGCCCGAGCCGGCGCTGACGGCCCCGGGCGCTCTCCCCTCTCCGCAGCGCTGCATGGAGCGGCTGAGGAGCAGCCGGGCCAAGCTGCTGGACCGGTACCGCCAGGCCGGGGACGGGGCCTGTGGGGCGGCCCCGGGCGCGCTGCTGGTGCAGGAGGTGATGGAGCAGGAGTGGCAGGAGCTGCGGGACAGGCTGCCCGGCCTCCGCGGAGATCAGCCCATGCAGCAGGTCAGTGCTGGTCCCCACCATCACCACCCGTGCGATACACGAGTGCCAAATACATCTCCCTGCGGGTCTCGCTTCCAGTGAGAAGCTGATAAAACTCAGGAGCTTCAGGGTTTACTGGTTCTATAGTTCAGGCAGGGTGTTGAGCTGTGAAAGTACCTTTAGGCATGAGTGGGGAAATTCCTTATTTCCTTCACGAACAGCTTATGGATTACGGCAGAGGGTTGGGTTCCTCATCTGTGCTTTTTATAGCTGGCCTGTCACTTCCCTTCTCTGAGCATAGGAATGAAACCTGAATGTCTTAAAAAGCAAGTTCTTGGACAGGCTGTGCTTGGATCAGTTCTGGCTGGCTCTGCACTTGTGTTGCAGTACAGGTTGCTTCCCACAGTGCATGGGTTTGCAAATATTGTGATTTACTAGACAGGAGAATAAGAGTGAATTTATATTGCTCAGTCGGGTGCTGGAAGTGAGAAAGTGGCTGGAATGGGAGGATCACTCACTGATTCACCTTTCAGATGCTGGAGGACCCTGATGAGCTGGCAGTGCTGGAAGAGATCCAACAAGAACTGATCTTGCAAGGTAAGATCTTTACACATCTTCTGACTCCTGTTTGATGGGTAACATTCCTGACTTCCTAGTAATGCAGAACAGCTGAGGCTGCACAACTTGATTCTTACAAACCACGTGATACAGGGGAAGAGTGTCCTTAGAAATCTCAGTGTTGAGGCTTTAATGTATTGAGACATCACAGTTTAAAGAGTTTAAGTGGCATTCTAAGGTCTGTGAGAGAGGCTAGAGAAACAGGACTGAAACAGGAACAGGACTTTATAAATCAATTCAGAATGTTTCTAAAGTGCTGATCAGAAAGTAGAAAGGCTCATGAGAGAGCAGCTGAGCCATAGAAAAAACTGGGTTAGCAGGAATGACTTCACCAAGTGCAGAAACCTGCCTGAAAGGAATAAAAGTTCTTAGAAACTCGTATCCAGCCCAGCCTGCACCTGCCCAGCAGCTTTGCTGTGCTGCCCAGGCGAGCCCTGAGGGTGTTTTGCTGTGCTGTTGCAGAGCAGTCGGTTATCGAGGAGTATGAGCGGAGCCTGCGCTTCGATGAGGAATGTCTCAACGCCATGCTCGACAGCCTGGATGCCACTGACAGGGTCATCTGCCCAGTATGTAGGAAGTAAGAAAGCCCTTGCCATTGGAATCAGATTCTCCACTTTCCTACAGCAGTCTGGGCTTAGAAATGTGCAGAGAGAAGCTGCTGTTCATTTCAACAAAATAAAAAAGCCTCAGCAGTGATCTAAATCTAATGAGGGGGGAGTGGTGGGAGGGTTTGGGTTATTTTTTTTTTTTTTGTAAAATCTTCCCTTGTTCTGGGTGTCAGGATGTTCACTGTTTGCTCTTCCCAGGAATAACCTGACTGTGAAGGCTCACTTGGTTTGTTGCCAGTGTGGGTTGTACATCAGCACACAGGTAAGCTGCACTGTGACATGTTGTGTGTGGCATCTCTGCTGCTGCAGAGGCAGCTTTGACAGGAACTGTAGCTGACTTTTAATCAATTGTTCCCAGAACATGACAGAAGGGAAGCTTCGGTCACTGCTGGAAAGCACTTTGACAGAGCACAGTCAGAGGTGCCTGCACAGCCCTGAGTTCACAGTCACCAGTGGCATGGAGGAGGAAGCCAGTCTGCTCATGAGCTGCTCGGTGAGCTTAAATGTCAGGTTCCTGGAAAGGATCACTGCTTGGATCCATATCTCAGTTACATGGGCAGAAACTACAAGTCTGTTGATCCCTGGGGTGTGTGTGGCTGTTTTTTCTCAAAATTCCTTGAAAATGGCTTTACCTTTGACCACCAGCAACTGCTGAAGTTCCAAAGTGCACATCTGTAACTGCTGGATTAGGGAATCTTTCAAGGACCTGCCAAATTTAGTGCCCTAACTTTAGCCAACACTTTCTAAGCCTTGTGTGCACCATCTGTTCAGATAAGTGGTTTGTGAAGAAAAGTTTTAAAAATAACTTGTTTAAGCCTCCTCAAAAACTTCATCCAGGTGTCTTGGAGAATGTGCAGCAGCTCTCTGGATCAAGCTAGAGCTGCTGCTTGCTTTGCTATTTAAAACCAGTGTAAGGAGTGTCAGGGGCAGAGCATTTCAGATAGAGCCATGGACTTAAATTGGAAAAGACCCTTAAGAGATAACTAAGAGCCATCCCCCCAGCACTGCTAAGGCCATAAGTAACCAATGTCACACATGTACATGTCTTTTGTATCTCTCCAGGGATGGTGACTCCACTACCCTGAGCAGTCTCTGCCACTGCTCAACAACTCTTTTGTGAATTTTTTTCCCCAATTGTTTTTCCTATTCAAATAGTTTTGAACTTGATACATTAACACAGCTTCTCTGTTCAACCTTTTCTGTGAAGGTCTGTGACTCCTGGATGATTCTCCTCTAAGGTGACTCAACTGCTGCTTTACTTCTGGAAGATTTCAATACTAAACTTCACCCAGAGCTGCTATGACTCTTGTGTACATACTTCTAACTGCTGTGTCAGAAAGACACTTCAAAAGGCAGTGGTATTGCCTTGACCTGCACTTTTTTAATCACACAGGACATTTTGAAATAAATATATTTCATTTATTTTGGCCTTGGTGTTGTCTTTAACACTGTATCAGTGATCTCACAGCTTATGTTGGACTTCAGCTTTCTCTTTAAGTGAACTTTAAATAAATAAACTAACTTAAATAAAATTAAAGCTTTCAAACAATAATTTGAGGCACCAGTTTAAGCAGAAATACTCAACCATCAGCAACCAGCACTGCCACAACTATTCTGTGAGCAGCTCTGGCAAAGACAAACTCTGCCATCACTTTCATGGCAGCTCTAGTACAGCAGGAAGAAGAGAAACCACCCTTTTCAGTGATATGTTGAACAGTTTTTATTCTTCACATTCACTCTTAATTGTACAAAAACCCCTGTGCAGGGTGAGGCAATTCTGGCCTGTAGCATCAGAGAACTTGACTGGGGCTGCACCATCACTGCACATCCCCAGATCCAAGTGGGAATCCTCCTTCTCCCATTCTCCACCTTCCACATTACTTACTCTGTATCCACTGTGAAGATATATTTGGGTATTGCTGGATGAAGCAGCACTGTGGAATACCCACACTTGAGGGTAAGTTGCCTAGCCTGACCTACTGACATTTGACAAAACTTTTAAGGTCTTCAAGGAATTTAATGTACTCCTGGTGCTCCAGGGCAGTGCTGAGCTCTATTAACTCATCAGCAAAGGTGTTGTCCACTCCTCTGTCAGCCAGGAAATCCATCAAGTGATCGTAGAGAGCCTGGAGCAAGGAACAGAAACTTAGTGGAACAGACCTGGGTAGGGGGTGCATTAAGGTGTCACCTGGCACTTCCTCCCAGGAAAATAAGGCCCAGCTCCCACAGGAGGGCAGGCCTGACCTTGGGTGGAACATCTGGATGGAAAAGGCCATGGAACACATAATAAAACCCTAAACCAAACAGCACAAAGGAGCTGCACACCCTGGAGATGATCCTCAGATTGTGGGAGTCATCAGAAGTCTGTCAGGGATGACACAAGGCAAACTCTGCCTGTCCTCTAGCCAGGGGTGAACTGGCACTTTGGAAAGGTATCTGATGTACAAGTTTGTTTGAAAGGCTTAAATGATACTGTCATGAACATTGCTTTTTCCTTTTCATACACATTTTTAATTAATTTAATGTCTTAAGGTGGGGGAAGAAAGAATAATCAGCACACTAAGCAAGTTTACCATGAGTGCTTCTCAAGGGGATAGATACACTCTAGGACTTCTACTTTCAGTTTTAAACATGACAGCCTCAAACTAAAAATTGTACCTTTTGAAATCCTGGCGTTGAGAACATAAGAACACAGATTCTTGTGCATATTTTGAGTGTTACAACTGTAACAGACCTGGGAAACCAGGACACAATGTACTTTATCAGATATCATACACAGATGCCTTTATCTATGCATGGTGTCTGATGAGCCACATTGTTAAACACACAGATCAAAAGATGTTTAACAAGTGTCAAAGCATTTCCAGAGTGTGATTCAGGGGCAGTCCCTGTCTCAGACATCCAGACAGGTTTAATTCCCAACCCAGGAGCAGAGGGACAGCTGAGTGCCCTCTGTGGCCTTTAGCAGCACCTACCCAGTCAAGGGAATCCGTGTTGAGGGTGTAGTTGGTGTCCTTCCAGTCGGCCTCTCCAGTGGGCTGGAAGCTGACCTCCCGAATTGTGAAAATATCACTTTCTTCCTCTCCTTCATGTCCAATCTGAGGCAGGAAAACAAATGCAAGACATGCAATTAGCTCCAATTAGTGGGAATGCTCAGCCAGCTCATCCCCAGCCTGGGAATACCCCAGGAAGAGCCCCAAGGCCAGACAAGCTGTGCCTCTCCTCTCAAGGTGTGCCTTGTAAGTGAAGATGAGCACAGACATGCACAGAACACAGAAAATCCACTAAGCTTGTGCTGCCAAAAGGGACCTGATGTACATTAGCAGTCTGAATTTTAAAAATATATAAAAACCTCTTCTGTGTGGTTCTAAATATGTCTTCCTGTGTCTGTCTCACCTCTGTCAGCCAGGAGTGGCTGTTAAACATCTCCTAACATTTACAAAAAAAACCACAAATACCAGTGTGAGCAAAAGCTCTCAATTTTATTTCCCCCCCCTCCTTTTTTTTAATCCCTACTTCTCTACTGTAATTCAATAAACAGCCCAGCTGATCAGAAACACCAGGGCAGGATATGAGGAATGCCATAAACATTTCCTCCCCACTGTTCTTGCAAACATAAAGCAAGAAAACATAAAGCTTTTTTGGTTTTTTTTTGGTTGGGTTGTTTTTTGTGATTAAGAAAAATAAAGAAATAAGGGGAGAGTGGATATTGTGCAGATTCAGAAAAGCAAGAGGTTACAAAGAGCAGTTAAATCCAACAGGGGCACAGTGATCCTCACCTCATCTTCAGGGAAATGGCAGTCAAGCACAAGGGTCTGTTTTGTATCATCTTTTATTACTTCCACAACAAAGTTTGGAGTTGATGTAAGTTCAGGCTAAATAAGAGAAGAGTTGCATCAGCACTGGAATCTGAGGAGGAGCCAAAGCAATCACAGCACAGCCCAGCCAGCACTGGGTATTCCCTGACACCTTCCACTATCCCAGGCTGCTCCAAGCCCCATCCAACCTCATCTTGGACACTTTCAGGGATGGGGCAGCTTTCCTGTGCCAGGGCCTCCCCACCCTCACAGGGAACAATCTCTAACAATACCTAATTTAGCCCCACACCCTGTCAGTTAAAAGCCAAACCCCCTTAACCTGTTGCTCCATTCCCTTGTACAAAGTGTCCCGCTCTCCTGTAGACCCTTTTCGTACTGGAAGGTGCTAGAAAGTCTCAGAATTCCTCCAATTTCTCCTCCTAGAGCCCTCCCACCTGCTCTGCTTTCTGCAGCAGAGAGGAAGGTCACAGCCAGCCCTGGAAAATCTGCATTTTGTGACTTAATGCTCCCAAATATCAGGGAGATAAATATAAATATCAGGGAGAAAAAGCCTCAACACTTGAGGAAAAGGCTTCCAACTTCCCAAAGACAAGATTCCAACTTTTCATCTGTATCCCCAACATTAAATGCACATCAGGGCTCAGTTACCTCCTGCTCATCAGGTTTCTGCTGCTCCTGTGTGTCTTCTTCAGCTGAGGGTGGAATGCTGTTATTGATGTTGAATGTAACCGTTATCCTGCAAAAGAAACAGGAACAATTCTTTTGAACACACACAAAAAATGCCCATCAGATTGGGTCTTTTAAGCCCTCATTCCGAATTCACACAGCGTGAACAAAACCAGGTAAAAAACAGACCTGAGGGAAGCTTCCCCCTCCAAGTGCTCTCACTTTTTAAAGTTTTACTGAACTGTTATTTTTAAAAACAGGAAGAAACTTTGTAACACAAAACACAGTAACAAACTGGTGTGAAAAAAGCTCCTTTGGCCCAAAGTGATAACATAGAGAGCCTTTGCAGCCTGCAGTTTGGGGCAGGAGCACATGGAGAAGCCTGGACACTGTGACCCACCTGCCCTCAGCTGCTGGGGACCCTTCCCAGACCCCACTTACTTTTCCCCCGCGATTTTCCGCACCAGCTTGGCCTCCGTGCCGTGGACCTCCAGCTCCCAGCCCCCAGAGACCTTGGGCAGGGACTTGTGCTTCTGGATCTTCTTCTCCTCCTTGATCTCATCAGTCAGGAACTGCGCAAAGGCTTTGTCTCCTGGTGGGGAGAGAAAATGGGGTTAGGGAAAGGGAGGGTTATGGAGAGGGGGGGAATTAAGGAAAGGGGGGTTGAGCTCAGGGGAAGGAGAGGGAAGGGAAAGGGATGTTGGAAAACAGGGGTTCAGGGAAAGGATAATTAGGGAAAGGGGGAGCTAGGAAAAGGGGGGATTAGGGAAAGGGGGAGTAAGGAAAGAGGAGAGTAAAACGGGGGTAAGAAAAGTGGGGATTAAGGAAAAGG